CTAACGGCTTATCGAAGTGACCTATTGTACAATTGACCATTATATATGTTTATATATTTATTGGAGATTAAAGTTAATGTAAATACATATATAATTAAGCACTGGCAACTGTAGGCTTGATTATATCAATTATACGTACATTTTCAACTCAATTTATAAAGTGCGAGCTAAGCGTTAATGTACTCCCCCGAGGCGAACGCTAATGTACTCCCCCTTCTCCCAGATCTGTGTCTCATGATCCATTAAAAATGGCATACTTTCTTTTTAAAAGTTCATTATACTTTAGCTAATATGCTATGTAATATTGTTAAATTAATAATACTTAAAAAAGAAATAAATAAAATAAATAAATAACAAAAATTAACAAATTTTTTATAATTGTTTACAACATTGATGTATTCCTAGATTTAAAATTATTTAATATATGAAGACGAGCTCAACTTATGAAGCTCAAAGATCGTAAATTAAAAGCAATTGTGATCCCATACTGAAATAATAGGATTCTAGCCGTAAAACTCTTTGCTCGCTCGTCATATCTTTAATTGGGCGTGGTTTCGCCAAATAAGGTCCATCTGTTGGAAACCGCTAGAGCAAACCGCTTTCTTCGCAACACTCGCGCAAGACGTTGCCGAAGACTAATCCTCTCTGGCCTGATTTCAAGAGGGACTAAAAAGTATAAAAACCAATCTACTCCAGCTTCGCAGCATGAGCGAGTATAGCAATTCCTGTTCGATAGACGAATCACGCAGTGCAGCTCTGGGCTGACCGTCGATTACTCGACCTTCATTTGGCAATAAGCCTCGAGTTGGATAATCCAAATGAAATGTGGACGTCAGACTAGCGACTCGGGCACAGTTTGCATTACATAAACCATCTGTCTTTACTTTTCGTACTCCAAACGCATTCTGCCATCCGCTGCGATAATTATATCAGAAATTTGTTTATATATACATATATCAAATATTACGTACTGAGCAGGACATTCAGAAATCGCATCCAAATCAACTTTATCTCCAAAAAGAAAACAGCAAAAGAGTGAGTAAGACAGAGGGCAAAAGAGTAAGAGAGAGAGAGAGACAGATGCATTTTACGATTTTTTTGGGCAAAGTTAGTTTTTCTGTTATTTTATTTTATTTATGCAAAATATTTCGAAAAAGAACACAAAAATTCAAAATTAAATTATATGATTATACAATGAAAATTGTTTTGTTTGCCATTCGGTTTTTTTTTTTTTTTTTTTTTTTGCATTTTTTGTTTCTTTTATTTGGTTTTTGTTTTTGCTTACGTTTTATGTTTGTTTTTTTTTTTTTGCCTTTTTTTTTTTTGTTTTGTTTTGTTTTTTTTTTTTTTGTGAAACATTTTACAATTTTTATGCATACTTCTGTCACGGCCGTTTTCAATCTATACAGGGTATACCCCCGCCGACCCGACTCGATCTGACTCGACCTGACTGCCTGTGTTGCTTTCTGTCTGATGTCGGATGTCTGATGTCTGTCTTGCTGTCGTTCTGGCTGTCTGACAAGAGTTGGAGCTTCCAAATGTTTGAATTCAGCTGCATGGCGCATTGTTTACACTTTCCACATTAATAATAATATATATAGCGTACAATTATTGTTGCAATTACAATTGTCTTGAGTACATATAATATATTTAAATTTTTATACGTTTTCATTTTGGTTTTGCTTTTGCTTTTGTATTTTTTGTTTTGTTTTGTTTTGTTTGTTTTTTTTTTCGAACCTATGCAAAAATCATAGTTGACAAAAAGAATTACACATTTTGTATGTTTATTATTTTTGTTTTTGCATTTTCTTTTATTTTGTTTTTTTTTTTTTTTTTTTTTTATGATGAGACTACGACAAAAACACATGCGACTTATTACACATTTTCTTATATTTGTGTTCAATTTTTTGTTTTTTTTTTGTTTTTCTTTTTGTAATTTGTTAATGTTTTGCTTTTAAGTTTTTGTGTAAATTTTCTTCATTTATGATATTTTTATTTTTATGTTTAATTTTATTTACGCAGGACGGGGTTTATTTCTTACACATTTGCATTTTTGCTTTCATATTTTGTTTTTCTCTTCTCGTTTTCTTTTCCTTTTTTGTTTTGCTTCACTAAGTGTAAATATCAATTTTTTTTTTTTTTTTTATATATATATATATATATATATATATATATAAGTATATATATATTTATATATGTCATTTTTAAATATTAATGAATAAATTAAAAAATATTCAAGCTTTGACTAGTTAGATTTGCTTTTCTTTTTTTTTTTATTTATTTTGTGTGAATGTATGTGTGTGTGTGTGTGTGTGAGGGTGTCTTTTGAAATATATATATTGTAATACTCTAATGCAATCTGTTTGTGTATATGTGCGCGTATATATACGTGTGTGTGTGTGTGTGAGGGTCTTTTAACTGCAGCTTTCAAAATGTTGGCTTGCCTGTCATGACGGCTCACGTTTTGCATTTGCGATTGAGTATGATAGAATTATATATATATATATATATATATATATATATATATATATATATTCATTGATGTGGGTATGCTGTGATGTATATATAGCAAAATAAATGGGGAACAAACAATTTGATTTTTGGTTTTGCTTGGAGCCTAGAAAAGCTTTACTAGTATCTATATATGTATGTATTTTATGCCCTGAAGCATTGTTTGCATTAGCTGAAGAGATTATGAATCATGTGGGTGTCACAGCAATATGATTTTGGGTTAGAGTGAGGGCGTGGCCGATGCCTGAGAAATGCAAATGAGGCAAGACAGAAGAAACTAGAAATTCTATGACAAATCAAATGAATCGAAGTGTGGATTGAATGTAAATGAAATGTTGCTTATGCGTTTGCCATATATATATATATATATATATATATATATATTTATATAAACATATACATGTACATATATAAATTGTCTATATGTAGGTATACAAATAAAGTTACAAACTTTGGTTTATAGCAAAAAATGTACTACAAATTACATTTATATAAATTGGATCTGCTCGGATGTATATATATATATATACTATGTATGTGTGTGTGTGTGTGTGTGTTATTAAATAACAGAACGCCTCGAATCAAGCATTTGGCCATACACTTGTCCAATATTTGCCAAGCAATCGAGTTGAGAAATTAAACTAGCAATTTCTATTCGGTTTATCGCTGCAGCTCTGCCTATCTGTCCCACTGTCAATTGCTTTGATCATGCAGCCCTCTACATATATGGTATATATTTATTGTTTTGCAATCGATCTCAAGTACAGTGCGAACCGAGCTGAGCGAACCCTGGCAATATGCAGCATAAGTGCACTCGCTGTTGGCCAAGTCGTTCGCTGTGCAAACACTCGGCCGAATAATGTCAGCTCAATGATTTGACTAATTTAACAATATCATTATGAACAAAGTTGCCAGCTGCAAGTGAGTGTGCGTGTGTGTGTGTAACTGTGTGTGTGTGTGTGTGTGTGTGCTGAAAGGAACAAAAGCTAAATACAAAAACAAAAACAAAACAAAATCTTGAGAAAGATCTCTGAAAAGAACTTTTGCATTTAGCTTTGTTTTTGTAAATTATTTTTTATTTGTTTTATTTATTTCTTTTCTTTTCTTGCTTTGTTTTGCGTTTGTGGCTTGCCTTAATAGCTGAGTTTTTATTAAATATTCTTTTTATTTGGGTGTTGTGTATAGATACATAAATACATTTATGGACATTTTGCATTTGCGTTTAAATATATATTGTATATATGTATATATATACGTACATATATATATATATATATATATATATATATATATATATATATATATATAATTTTGTTTACCATATATATAGCTGCATATGTGTGCATATATATGCTTAAATACATACATACATATATATATATGTTTATATATAGAGATTAGTACGCGTAGGTAGCTCTTAGGTTCACATATGTCTGTCTCGCTCTGTGTGTATGTGTGTGTGTGGGTGTTTGTGTGTGTGTGTGCTTACGTATTTGCCTTGCTTTTGCTTAATGCATTTGAATTTCTTTAGCAACTACTAAATAGGCAAGCAGCGCAGTTGCTTATTTGCTTTGCTCAATAAATTTATATAGTTTTATTTATTTTTTATTCATATATTTCTCTTAATTTTTGTGGACGCCGCAAAGTATGCAACGCCGTTTTACATATCTGTCTGTGTATGTGTGTGTGTGTGTCTGTGTGTTTTTTTTTAGATTTTATGGACTTGCTCTGTATATATCAATATCTATATATCAAATTGTTTTATATGCTGCAATTCAATTGTTTGACTTTTGAAAGCTTTATGTGTGTATCAGTGTGTGTGTGTGTGTGTGAATATGTATGTGGGGGCTTTAAATTTTAGATTAAATTCACTTGATATTGTTTGCCTGTTGCGTTTTTAATACTTTTTCTAAACAAGAGCAATGCAGTACGAAACAATTTTCATACAATTTCTCTGTGTGAATGTGTGTGAGTGTGTGTGTGGGCTTTTCCTCGGCCCATTTTGTTTAGCTGTCTGCCTTGTTTTCCTTGTGTTACAGTTTGCATGTCATATGAAGCATTTTCATTTACGTTCAGAGTATGAGAAAGGGGAGAGCTTGCATGTTTTTTTTTTTTTTTTTTTTTTTTTGCATTTGCATTTGCGTTTGCTTTGCTTTTATATTTTGTTTTTCTTTTTGTTTAAACATTTGAATACTTAAATTTAATTGCTTGCTTTATATTCTTGCCTTTCATTAATTTAATATATAGATGCATTACATTTCACGTACGTTGCGGAACTGCGGTCCTTTAGACGAAAAAAAAAATTGTTGTATTTTGTTTATTTTTAATATCATTTAATTTGTTGTATTTTGTTTTCTTTTTCTTTTTCTTTGCATTTTTTGTTTTGTTTTGTTTTTTGTTTTTTATTTGTTAGTGATGTGCCATGCTTTTGCTGATTGTTGTTGCTTTTCTTAGGTGCATGCTTTTTGTTCTTATTGTGTTTTTATTTGTTATTATTTTCATTGAATTATTCTTCTCCTGCTTGCTCTAGGTGTTTACTCTTTCACTTCGAAATATTTGTAGGTCGGATTCTCGTACCCGTTGATCTGCATATTGGGCACGATCTTCTCCTCTTGTACGATGGGATGGTGTGTGGTCACATTCTGTGGGTGCGAAAGAGAAAGAGAAAGGTATGAATATGTGTTGGAAAGTGTGTGTGAGAGAGAGAGAGAGAAAGAGAGGGGGGTGTGCCTTGCTAAAGCACATACTAATGCAATTCATATTATATACATCTTATATGCCTCTCTCTCTCTCTCTCCCTCTCTCTCCATCCCACTCTCTCGGCGACTTCTGGCCACCGCCAATACCTGATCCACTTCAATGAAGCCCTGGGCGTGCGGCGAGCGTGATGTTCGCCACTTGGCAACGGCCACGCCCACAAATACAGCAGCCATTAGGGCGATGCCAGCGAACGAGAGCGTGAAGTAGACATTGCGCCCCTCCTTGGCCGCGTGCGCGTGCGCAAACTCGCGACGCAACGAGAAGCTCTGCAAAGAGAACGAGAGAGGATAGGCTTTAGGCAGATGCGGCACGAGATGAGGTCGCCGCAGTTGAAATACCGATTCGCGGTGGCCCAGATCGTGGGTCATGAAGTGCTGCACCTGCGGCTCGGCCTCCTGGTGGGCCACTGCGGCGGCCACATCCTCAACCGCACGCTGCACGGCGTCGTCGTCCACCGTTGGCAACACGGTCTGCACCTTGGTGCTGCTGCAGGAGGAGAAACGAGGATGCGTTAGAGAGGCGCACGAATATGACGAAGCAGAGAAAGGAGTTAGCCCACCTGACTGTAACCTCAGCATACTCGGCATCGGCCAAGTCCTTGTCGCTCTTGGTTGTGTCGAGATTCAGATTGGGCACGGTCACCAGGCCAGCGGCTCCCTTCAGATCCTTGCTCCTCTCCTGCTGCTGCTGGTATTGCTGCTGCGGCGATAGCTGCTGCTGCTGTTGTTGCTGCTGCTGCTGCTGGGACATCTGCTGCTGCTGCTGCTGCTCGGCCGCCTGCGACTTGAGCATGTCGTCGACCTTCTTGGCTTCCATGCGCATCTTGTCCTCGCGTAGCTTCTCGCGCTCGGCGGCCCGCTGCTCCTTGCGCTGCTTCTCGGCGAGGCGCAGGCGCTCCTTCTCGGCCACCTTGCGCTCGATCTCGATGCGGTATTTGTCCAGTATGCCCGCCTCCGCCTCCTCGCTCATGCCCAGCGACGAGCCGGGAATGTCGTCCTTGCTGCGCAGCGCCAATATGTAATCGTTCATCAGCTGGGCAATCTTGGCCGAGAGCTCCGGGTAGCGCTTCAGCATGGTCATCGACTGATTGACCGCCCGATCGATATCAATGAGACGCTCCAGGGTGCGTGGTCGCTCCGATGCGGCTGCCTCCAGTCCGCCGGGGCCGCCCGAGTTCAACAGATGGCGATAGTGGGCCAGGGCATGGGCCCGATCCTTGTGCAAGGCGCGCAACAGCTTCTGCAGACACTTCTCCACATGATGGGCCTGGAAGACAGAAGAAGACATTTCATCACAGCTCGACTCCTCCGCTTGCGCTGGCAGGATACTCACATTTGGGGGCTGCTCCGTGAGGGCCTCCGTGTAGCAGGTCATGGCCTCGCGCTTGCGCTGATTGATGTGGGCGAGGACGCGCTGCTGGTGCATGGCGGCCAGTTGGTGCTTCTCGGCGTTGCCTTCCTCCTCGAGTGCCTGAACAGAAGTCTAAAATTACATTCCCATATAAAGACGTATTGCACACCAAGAGAGAAAGATTATCAGCACGATGTTGGAATTGAAAACTTTGGATAGTTTCGATAGCTCGATCGATAGCAATATCGATATCAATTTCGATTGCAAATTCGCTTTCGCTTTCACTTCATTACAGTACAGTTACGTTTCGCTACTATTTCAATGGCTATAACTTGTGTTAGTACTGTGTGGGTGGGTGGTGTGTGTGTGTGTGTGTGTGAGTGTGTGAGTGTTGGGACGTGATTGTGCTCGTGCGCTGAGTGCCACGAAAATATGTGGAAATTGCCAATGAGCTGGAATGCAAAATGGAATGCCAAATATACAGCCGAAGTTTACAAAGAGTTTTCCACTGTGAATATTTCTAGCAGTTCCTATAGCTTTATAGTTGCTCTCTTGTCAATTGCATTTCAATTTCAAATTGAATTTTATTGCAGTCATAAGTTGCTTGCCTAACGACTTTTGTAGAAGTTTGCTTTGTATAATACCATCATATACCATATACCAGGCATATAGTTATATTGTATTAATACTTTAACTGACTAATATTCATCAATTTATTCCTTAATAATGTGAAATGATGGAATTTCTATGCTTGCAACAGAGTAAGAGATCTAAGGCACATTTAAGCATAAGTACAGAGATGGAGAGAGAGCTAGAGAAATAGAGAACGACAGAGCGACAGAGCTGGAGAAATGCTTGCGATTATTGAATTGAGGTACTTAAGAGATAGCATATGTATGTGAATTAATATGATTGCTGTATATGTAGATAGAGGCATATTTACATGACTAGATAAATGCGATTCATATGACGGATATATAGCTCGATAGATGTATATATGTATGTATAGCTAGATATATCTTTTATGTATGCAGTAAGCGCAGCAGTTTGAGTATTTGATTTAAAGCAGCATTTTCATTAAAGCCAGATATGCACCCACAAAAAGAGGGAGAGGCAGATGAAGTAGGTGTAGCTGTAGCTGTAGCTGTAGCTGTAACTGTATGTGTACGTGTGCTTGTCTGTGTAGAGTTATTTGCTGAGCTGGTTGGTTAGTTAAGCGCTAATTGAGATGAAATGAAAAGAGCGTCGTTAGCTAAGGACTACACGAGTTCAGCGCGTTTAAAGCCAATCGGTTTCAACTACGTGTGAGCACCTCTCGAGTCGGAGCTGTACTTTGTGACGGTGTTGAGCTGTTGCTTGAGTTATCTTGCACATCATTGATGCGATTGTTACTTTTATTGTTATACTTGTATGATTACAATCTGATGCCTCTTTCGCTCCCATTTGCCATACATGGATACACACACAGAGAGAGAGTAGGAATTACATGACTACACACAAACAGACATACATATATGTATATATGAAATAGAACTGAAAAATCGAGCAGAAAATTATAGAAATGAATACATACATAGGGTGCATAAGCAGGTGCATTGTTATGGTGCGGCAAATTATAAACTAACTAGAATGATTATGGAAATGATTTTGTTTATAGCACAAGTGTAGAGCTGGGGCTGGGGAGGCGGTGCCCAGGCGGTGTCAGGCTGTTGCCAACTGAACAACTGTGCCACTTCTCCCCAAAGACAAACACAATGAGACGCACACACACGCACACTCTCACACACATATGTACAAAGTTGGTTTCGAATAGAGATAGAGTGAGTTAGTGCATGAGACAGAGATAGATATAGAGACAGAGACAGAGAGAGAGATAGCCATAAAAAGAATACACAATGGAACTATGAGAGGTTAGGCTGGACTTGGTTTGGGGATTCAACGGGGCTCACATTGGGCTTGGGCTAGGGATAGGGCTGCTGGCTAGGGGCTAGTGGGACGGGGGGGCGGGGACGGGCTAGCTGGTGGCAGTTGGGCACAAACCTGGAAACGTGCCGTCATACGCTGTTTGAAGCTTTGCGCTGCCTTCGGATCGGCCAGGCGCATGTCCTGGTATTTCTCCTCGAGATCCGACCAGTCCTTCATGACACGTGTGACCTTCTCGCGGTGCGATTCCTCAAGGCGCTGTTGGGCTTCCTTTGTTTAGAATATGTTTTGTTTTTTGTTTGATAAATAAACCTGCGCCCTCAACGTAAACACTTACTTTCTGACTTACTTTGTAGCTCTGGTGCTCGTAGTGCGGGTCGAAGTGCGTGAAGTACGGATCGGAGGTGGGCTGAGCGGTCGACGGTGGTGCGCCAACTCCTGCCGCAGCGGCGGCGGCAGCGGCGGCAGCTGCCGACAATTGCGGCGTACCAGTCACCGGCTCCGGCTTCGAGATGGACGGCTTGCTGCCCACTTGCTCGGCGACGGTCAGGCTGGCGGGCGAGGAGGACATCAGGGGGATGGGGACCTGGGACTTGAGCGAGGGCTTGGCGCCACTGGAGCTGCCATTAGGGTCCCAGGAATCGGCAATGCCGGCCACATCGCTGTCCGAGCCGGCGCCGTCCTCCTCGTAGATGTCGCTGTCCTCGCCGCTGTCGTACTCGGCATTGATGTCGTCCAGGCCGCTGCTGTTAGCATCGGTAGCTGTGCCGGTGCCAGTGCCAGAGCCAGAGCCGGTGTTGGAGCCGGTGCCGCCGCCGGCGGCTGCCTCATCGGCGACCATTTCGTCCTCCTCGTCATCGCCCATCAGATCGTCCTCGTCGTCCAGCTCGTCGTCGTTGGCGTCCTTCGAGTAGTTCGAGTCGTTGCTCTCATCCTCCTCATTCACGCTCAGCTCCACGTTGGCATTGTTCAGCTGTGCCGGCGGCATGACGGGAATATCGGTCTTCTTCACGCGTATCTCATCGGCTGGAAAGCAAATCGAAAGTTCAGCATGAGCATGAGAGTGTGTGTGTGTGTGTGTGTGTGTGTGTGTGGGTGTGTGTGTGTGTGGGTGTGCGTGTGTGCGTGGGCTCAGCTGTGTACAGCAGCGCCACTTACTTTTGAAGTGCTTGGGGCAGCAGACGAACTCGACGCCCGAGAAGAGGGAAATGCCGCAGGGCAGGAGCATGGCAAAGCTGCGCATCTGCATGCCGCGCTCCTGGCAGGCGGCGGCTCCAGTCTGGTTCCATCGTACGAAGGGCCAGCAGCGCGACGCGTTGTGTATGTGGTCGAAGAGGCAGCCCTCGGGCACCAGCAGTGCGTCCGATTGGAATGGTCCTTCTGAAGCCAAACGAGATTGTCGCAGCATTGTCGGTTGGTTTTCAATTTTCATGTCAATTTTCATTTTCATTTTCGTTTCGGTTTTGGTTTTGGTTTTCGTTTCGATTTCGATTTGGTGGTTTTTGGTTATGGAAAAGCAAATGGTTCACATTGGTCGCGTGGCGCTCAGAGCTTAATCGATTCGGACTTACCCAGGCAACGGAACGGCTTGATCCAGCGATGGGCGCCCTTGCACTTGGCCGCATTCAAAGAGCCCTGGCGACACCAGCCGCCGATCTTCTGGTAGTGCGACGATTCCACAATATTCGTAATGTCACGGTTCGGATAGGCCTGCAAGCAGAAAGAGCAGATGACCAAAAGTTAGTTGGGAAAAGCAAAGAGCGGGAAAGGGATAGAGAAACATTGCTAATATAATATGATATCATAATAGGTAATTACATTACTGTTTCTCCGAATCAAGCGAGTTGCAGAGCATGCAAAGAGCTTTAGAGTTAATTTTGCTGTTAACTAACAGCACTGTTAACGAACAGCTGTGCGGTGACGTCACACCTTCAGCTTGTGTTCTGTTATCCCACCTTAAGCTGAGACTCTGTAAGTGCCCCAAGGCCAGCTAAATGAATTTACAGTTAGCTTAAGCTCTAAGATCAGAGATGATCTTGAGTTGGAGCACTGCAGTGGCATAATTTAGCAATGCTCGATGTTAGCTGCAGCACTGTTAACTTAACATAATTGCGAGATTCATGCAGGCATTGCCACCTGCAGCTCTGTTGGCTTAACATAATTCTGTGAATTGTTAGCACTGTTGACTTAACATAATAATTCTCAGAAATGTTAACACTATTGGCTTAACATAATGCTGTGAATTGCTAACACTGTTGGCTTAACATAATTCGGCTCAAATAGAACTTGAAGTGATTTGCAATTTGTTTGATTGTTTCAGGACTGCCACACACACACACACACACACACACACACACACACACACACACACACACACACACACATGCAGAGACGCTGATTTGGCATATGCAAACAGCGCTGCCAACTGGCTTGATAAACTCCTGTCAGGCGAGGCCTGTGGCATTGTCAGAATTTCACTCCACATTTGGCTGACGAGTGCCGTTGGTGTGATTGCAGATTTCGAATTGCATTGCAAACAGAACTTTTCACGTCAGTCAATTGGAATTGAAAGCATTGAAAGAATTGAATTTGCCCGCACAGTCAAGCCGGAATTTCAATGTAAGTTCATATTATTCCTAGTCTTGTGCTACATTTGAAATCAAAACTAAAGCTGAATTGGGAGTTTTGCACATGAGAGCACACATATGCATGTATGTATGTATATATGCATACATGCACACATGCAGCAGAGGCTCTTTATTTTGGCAACAAATAAAACATTTATTTAACAGGAAACTGAGCCAGGTTTGCATGCAATCTGGCAATATTTTTAATTCACGTTAATTAACAACAAAAATGTTGTCTAAATGTGGTTTATTTCGGGAGTTACGAGTTGAAAAATCATGCGACATTATTTAAGCTCGTGGTAAGTGAAATTAATGGCAAAGGGCAAGAATGGGCCAGAGTCCGATTTGAAGCTATTGAATACAAAACTTGAGCAAAACAAATACTTATGTACATATTTATGCATGTATGCATGCATGTGTATTGGCTTTGTTTTTGTCTCGCCTTGAGCATTTGCTCTGAATGCTTTAGCCAATATGTGACCGTCATGTACATGTAATATAATTTGCAGTGAAGCGCAAAAGCTTCTAGAGTTTTGGTCTGCCTGAGCCAGTGGCACATTTCCATTTCGATTTCCATTGCCATTTGCCATTTTCCACTTAAGCGTTTATTTCAACTGCGTCAACTAAACCAAATATTTATTTGTTCCTGTTTGAGGCATGTGCCATGGCAACAGCAGGAGAAGCAGGAGAAGCAGGAGAAGCGGGGGAAGCGGGAAAAGCGGGAAAAGCAGCAGCAACAGCTAAACATTATCATCAGCATCAAGTTTGAGTTGCGCCAAGTGGCAGCAGCAGCAGCAGCAGCAGCAGCAGCAGTTTTTGCTCGAGTGTGCGTGCCTTCGACTGAAGGCGCATGTAAATTGAGTGCAGCCAAAAGCCTTGGCTTCGATTTTGACACCTGACTGCTGCACACACACCCACACCCACACACACACATATGTACGCATACTCAATCAAAATTGGAGCAAGTGGCTGTGAGTGGGCAGCTGTATGTATGTATGCATTACTGAAGCCGCCCGCTGCAACAATAGCAGCCACTCGGCGTATACATAATGCGCCCACTTGCCACTCGTGGCTCGATGGGGAGGGCGGGGGGCAGTGAGTCCAAGCCAAGCCAAGCATCGCCACTAATGTTGATTAGACGTTGGCATTCGATGCGTGCGCGTGTATCCATGGCCCATATGTCTATTACTATCTATACCCATATCCGCATCCGCATCCGCATCCACTTCCGCCCACTCAATGTGTGCGTGTGCGTGTGCGTGTGCGTGTGTCCATCCTCTGGGGTAATTCAAAGTGGATAAGCGGTTAAATCATTAGATATTTATAGGC